CGCTCGTCCGTCTGTACATCCGTGGCGCGTGTGACAGCTTGCCGCGCCGAATGAATTTTAATGAAATCCAGTGTGTTAGAGGGAGCGCGAGCCGGCCTCCGGCCACTACCCCCGGCTGAATTTATCCGACAAATTCTCCCTCCGCGTTGTCTAATCTGAATACATGCATATCCGAGAGCCGCCACCGTATAAAGTGGAGACGCGACGACGTGGACGACCGGCGTCGCCGTCGTTTTTCGGCGGACACGTCGTCCCCGGACCGAGATTGAGCGCGCTCGATTAAACAGTATGGAATCTAAAATAACATGGAATATTATATACGGAGAAATTGGATATTTCACGTACTATTCTGAAATTTTTGCGATTTTTTTAAATTCGCAGGATCTGCTCTACGATTCTCGAGTCGAGATAAATTAAATTATGCGGCGTTATTATTCTCTCTCCATCGTGATAAGAATGATTCGAGACGATAGAAATTACTCATGTATGTAAGAATGATCTAATATGTTCGATACTAACCTACTTACGTCTATTACGGCAATTAGAAGCCTCAAAATAGACGTAACGTATCGTAACGTTAATATAACTGGACTTTTACATACGCGACCTAGATATGTTGATAATCGATTAGACATTTATCCGATTTGGAAGACTGCAAGAAAATCATTTAAGGCTTCGAACATTTTTTACACGAAAAGAGGCAAATTAAAATTGAAATTAGCAATTAGGGTAAATGTCCCTATTAATGTGCCTTTAAGTCAATTTGTTTATTACTGAATTAATTATTAATTATTATTGTAGCTTTAATTTTATCTTGAAATCGATATTTTTTAACTATTTCTTTTTCTTACATTTCTTTTATCTGAAAAATGTTATTACTTTATAAAAAAAAATCATATTTTTGTCCCTATTAGTGCTTATTAATCCTCCAAGCGGCGGATTCCTTTAAGCTTAATCCCATTAATGTGCTCCCAATTTGTGTGCCTATCCGCATTTGATTCATTTTAAGATATAGTTACTGAAACAGGTAATAAATTTTAGCTAATTGTTTAAGTTAATATTACATAAATCATTATTTCAATTATACTTATTCCAATATACTCATAACGCAACCTTCTCAAACAATACAGGGCACATTAATAGGGATAAGCTTAAAATCTTGTGATACGTATTACTGGATTCACATAAATTCCTCATATCTTTCGAAAAATGTTTAAAATACTTTAATAAGTAAAAAATAAAATATTATTCTTGGTATCGTATACATTAATAATTTAATTTAACAAAAAAATTTTTTTTTTCTTATTTATTCGTGCTAGTTTCCTTTATGGCTTATTGAAATACAAAAGTACATTAATAAGGACACAGTAATAGGGACAGTTACACTACCTTTGGTTTATAATTGTGTATCACGTGCAGAGCATAGTAAAACTATTTTTTCATTTCTAACTTCGTGCCAATTTCACATTTGATCGTCAAATGTTTCATTCAAATACGTTAATAATATCTAGAAATAATTTAGAGAAGTTTGTCTACAAAGATTTCGAGTAATCACTGGGAAGGAAACAGCTGACTTGGCTGATAATTGGATGGTACTTCGGGAAATGTTAAAAAACTGTTGAAACATATTAAGGAACAACATCGAACAATGTCGAAGATGATGCCTTGTAGTTTTTTCCCTACTTTTTCTCGATCATCCCTTTTCGCCTGACGCGACCCTCTGCTATTATTCGCGACTTCCAGGAAGAGGGCGAAACTCGTCTTAAAAGAACTTTTAACAACGGCAAGAAGACACGAATTCACGCGCACTTCTGTACCTCCTTTACTAGTTTAATCCTTAAATAACACCTTCGTTTTTCTTCGCGAGACCATGAAAATGGTCTGTTACGTTCATCGGCTGTTGTATCTTTAAAGAAAGGATGGAACAAATCCTATAAATTACATAATAAAGTCTATTTCGTTAAAATATAAAAGCTGTAGATAAATCAAAGTTACAAACATTTCGAGTCAAATGTATAAAATAATGCAGCATAAAGTCGATATTATAAAATATTGTAGTACACACACCATATATAAAAGCTCTACTTGATTTCTGGTGACATTTTTAATTTCTTGAGATCTTTATAGGAATATGAAACGTTAAAATTTTCTAACGAATATAGGAATCGGCAGTGCCCGACAGTAACGACGTGAGCATTGGCATATGTCAGTAACATGATATTTTTATTGTCAGGATTCAGACTTTGTTTCCATGGAAGGCGTTGAAATCGGCTACGAAACCGATACAACAATAGAACTAGATATCGATTACTTTTCTGTGCATTGTTGTGACATGATTGAATTGCTTTATGTATTGTACATAGTAGCATGTATATCTGAGATTTCAACAAATACGCTATGAAGGCATTTCCGATTCCTATTCATTATATACTTAATGTCGAGACACTGCTGATGTTACCTAATGCATTGTAAACATACAAGAAAATCAATAATAAAAATATCTTCCAAAGAAATGTGTATATATTTTATTTATTTATTTATTTATTTATTTACGATCTGCGGGCTTTCGTGTGAGCTTTCGTTCACATCGAATATGTTACGATTTTTTTTTAATATAAAACGACAGATCTCGTACTTTATGGATCGTGTTTTAATACAAGTATTTAAAAGACGAAATATTTCACAAGCACATTGTGTAATCGTGTGACATGCGAGATCGAGTGAGCGATGAGTCTCATATCGACAATTTTATATTTAGCGGTTAAATATATCAAGGCGTGATTGATGGTGATTTAAAACGAATACAAAATAAAGTATAATGCAAAGAAAATAAAAAAATAAACATAATCTGAGGATAAACTGACACAGTAAAGATTTTAATCCCCGCATACTCGCCGGAGATAAAGAAATTAAATCTCCCTAAATTTCTGCTCCATAAAAGTGTAATTTGTCCACAATTTGTTTTTTGAAAAAAGATAATGTGATACCATTCTTTTCTTTGGAGGGAGAAGGGGAATTTTTCATAATATGATTAAGAGAAATAATTCTATTTTTGGTCAAAATTAACGGATCTTGCTTAATAGTAAATATTAATATGCAAATTTTTTCCAGATTATTTTTTCAGTTTTATAAACTAAGATCTGATAAACGCAATTGCAAATTAAAGTTGAAATATTAATATCTTAAATTAGATTGATCATCAATTTTAATAGTGATGCTAATAAGTAACTTAAAATCCTGCAAATAATAATTTATTGCGAAAATCTCTGGCTGAGATATAATAATATTTTTCGCAATAAATTATTCACAATACAAGTTTTTAAAAACTTATTAGCATCATTATTAAAATTGACGATTAATCTAATTTAACATATTTCAGTTACAAATTACGATTGCGGTTTAAGTCCAACAAACCGAATCAGAACGGTTTAAAGCTAAAAAAATATTTATTTGCAAAAATTTACATATTAATATTACACTAAAAATCGTTGAAAATGATTAAAAAATAAGATTTCTCTTAATTGATTAATTTTTATCTCTCTAATTTCGAATTATAATTTTCAAAACAATATTTCGGGCGTAAATTCAATCAAAAGTGCGCGGGAATGTGTTCGCCTTATAAGTAGTAAAAAGAGGTGCAAACAGAGGCAATTTGAACTTGCATCTCCAGTATTTATGGCAAGCGGCAATTCTGACGTTGTAAAGTCATACGCGTATACTCTGCATCATTCCCGTAAAGTGAAATCCATCTCGTGTAAAATCCATCTACTATTGATATTCTCGATATTTTGCATGTCGTAATAAGAATATCATGTACCCTCGTTACCGTTCGCCAATTGCTGCTAATGGACTATGAGCGTACGACGGCTCTATTATTGTAATAGAATAATTATCATCGCACGTGTTCGTCAGAAGATTGTTCACGAGGGAACGATTCACAAAACCGGTTTTCCAAACTCCAAAAACGGTTTTCAGTTACGGTGTAATTATCGTGACATTTTCGCATTTTTATTATGCGAAATATCGATTCTTCTCCCGTCATAATACGATGTGCGATTTTATCTCGCAAAGTGATACCATCGAAAGAAAAATCTCGAGGTAATTCGATCTTAATTCGCAGGAACCGCATTACCGAATACATCCTGAATTATTCAAATCTAATTTATTTTACCGCGTGCTTCTACCTTCAAAGTTTTAAAGCAACAATCGCTTTAGCTTCCTTAAAGCTGACGCTTCCAATTTTAGCAGAATTCTTGATAACAAAGTTAATTAAAATATTGTAGAAAAATAATACATACATATATCATAATTCTTATTGATTAAATAATACAATAATTCTAAAGAGATAATATCATTATTTTAAAGTTGAATATATTACGTTTCTATTCGATTGTTTACAAAAGATTACAACTTGTTCGCACTTTTCCCATTTAAATGAAATATTTAAGGGGAGAAAAAGAAAGGAAAGCGCGAAACATTATAAGAGGAATTAAAGTTTTTTCTTCAAAATAAAATAACGAAATAAAAATGACATGCAACACCGTTGTGGCGTGTTACATACTGCGACAAAGGGAAGTCTTTTAAAGAAGTTCTCGTTACGGGATCTCGCGATTTTGTAAAATGCATTTAATGCTGTACATTTATTCCACCGTGTACCCAAATGTATTCAAGGAAATGCTCTCGTTTGCGGAACGACTTATACGGTTGTTCATTTACGAAGTTGTCGATGCAGACTCTTATTTAATTGTACAACATCAAAGAGAAGAATAATAATAGACGTATATATATATAATATTAGAATGCAAAATATAAAGAGCAAGTAACAACAGGCTGAAAAGACAATCAATGTTGTAAAAACAGAGAACGAAGAGAGAGGGGGGGGGGGAGACAAAATGTGCGCATATATGTGTGTATATGCAAGCGTGAATGGGAAATGTTTGCAGAAATCTTGACATAAAGTACATACTAATGTATTTTGCAAAACATCCTTCTGTTTGCAGTTATTATGCGTCGACCGCGTTTCCGCCGCGCTTAGCACCGCCGTTGAAACGGCCGCGTTTGATGCCACCGACACGAGCACAGCATCCGAAGCTACAGAAACAACAATCAACAGCAAACACCGGCACGATACCCGACTTGAATCAACTTAAAGTGTATAGTAAGTACTGCATTTGAGACAATACGTTTTCGTTATGTACTTCGACGTGTACTTAACTTTGCGATGTGCTTCACCTTCTCTTCTTCTCTTCACTTTAAAGTCAAATATTTGGATCTAATACGGCGAATTTACCTCAACATGTCTATTAAAATCTTAATACAAGGGCTATTTGAATCTATCGCGGTTAAAGATGCTATTTCTTTAAATAACAATGTTTTTACTTAAAATTCATAATTATAATATAAAGATAATGATTACAAGAAACGTGCGTACCGGCTTCGCTTTGAGCCATTTTCAGCATATAATTGCAGCAGTGTAATTACAGATTAGAAGCAGTATCTCGACATATCCATATTTCCATTACAAAATCGTAATATATATGTGTAATTAAATTAATGTTATCATTATTATTATTATGCAATGATTATTCTCTAAGTTTATAAGTTAGCTCCTTGTAACACGGAGTCCCAAAGCCTTGTCGAGCAATGAAGGCTGGGTTTAATTGAAGGTATGTCGTAGGCAATCCAGATATACTGATCTGCGGCAACTGCAGGGAGATGTTCACGGAACTCGGGGAGCTGTTGGAACACAAGCGGAACTACTGCAAGCTGCGGTTCACATGTAAATGTCACACCTTCAACGGAGCCGCCCCAAGTATGTACTCGAAATAAACTTCGAGGCGCCTCCTTCCGGTACGTAAACGCGCTCCGAATCCCACCGGAAGATCCAGATTAATAATTGCCCATCGCCTATAATTTTAATCGGCGGTTATTCTCGTCGATCATAATTAACAGTTGGACAACTTTTTACGGTGTCATTGTGTTGTTTAATCAGAACTTATATTCCTATTTAAATTAAAACAGATTACTTACATTCATTAAATTTGATATTAATTGGTTGACGTAATTGATGACAAATTTATGCCTCTTTGCACGGCGAATTAAATTACGCAAACAAGATGAGCATCGCGTAAAATCCTTTACATATTCCATTAAAATGAACGTATTAAATGAGTGTGTTTTGTTGTGTTGCATTATTGTAAATCAAATAATTTTAGAGTTTCATTTCTATCAAAAGAAAAACAAACATGTTACGTACAAATTCCATTTTCCTTACGGCGGCTCGAAATATATTGTTGAATAAAAAAAAAAGGACAAAATGAGACAAAGTTAATAAAAGAAATTGTATTGACTCAAATTTAACTTAAACGAAAAATATTTTTGTGAACAACTTAGCCCTTTACCGGCAATATGAAATTTTCAATTATATAATCTGCAATCTGGACCACAGCAGATTTTTTTATTGTTCTGGTTTATATAAAAATCTGAAAAAATTCGTGTATACTTGTAAAATCTTTAATAACAAGTTTTATCACAATAGAAACTATTTTGTATTTTACTTATTTTTTACAAATTTAAATGTAAGTTTCAAAAAAAGTGACAAGATTAAACATTCATAATTTTTATGAATAAATGAAAAAAAAAAATTTTTTAGACTACAATACTCGAGTACATACTTCAGAAAAAAGATAGTATAATGATGTTGGCTTCAAAAGGTTGAATTATTTAAACATCTAGAAATAAAGATTTTTATGGGTAAGAAATCAAGTGAATTATTTAATATTAAATTCTTTTTATTTTAATCAAAATGAGTACAAAAATTCCAAAATAAAAACATTACGAATTAATTCCAACACCTAATATATATATATATTAATATACAATGCTTCTCGATTTATCATATATAAGGTACAGAAGTTCTTATATCTACCATTTTGATGAAATGAATATTTTTTGAATGAATTTGTTTCTCTAATTTGATAGGTCTGTCTGAAGAAGTTTCTTCAATTTCGTGTATATCATGATTTGATATATCTCTATAAGTAATGATTTTGCAATTACATTAATGAAAAAATGATATAAAAGATTAATAAGTCTATTTTAAAAAAGTAAAATTTTTATGTACTTATTGAAATTAGCATAAAAATTTGTATAGCATAAAATTGGCATATAACAAGTTTTATATACTTATTAAAATTAGCCTTTAAAAATATAAAACATAAGAAAAAATTCAAATTTTTATTTGCAAAAAATCTTACGCGATCTGCAACATGGGTCTGATGAACTGAGGGCACAGATACAATTTCTTGTATTTGCAACAAAAGAATACATTTGGATACTTGTACATATACAATCTTAACATTATCAAATTTTTTCAGGTAGTAATATTGAATCCTACTATCTATTCATTTTCTTAAAATTCATAAAAAACGTATCTTAAAAGATTTCCTGCAATGCCGGTGGAGGATTAAATTGACAGCACTAATAAATGCATTATAGTCTCGCTTCAAAACTTGTATAAAAGTTTATTGAGCTATCTTAATCTAATATTTATTTATTGCACATGACATCATTTCAAGAAATCAGTTTCTATATTTTGTCTTATTTTGCCCTCGTTGTGGCTCACTGTGTGACATCACTACAGTATCTTTAGAATTTAGATTATTTATTAACGCGTCCCGTGCTTCCTCACGAATAGGAGACTCGACGACGGCGTTGCTCTGCGTCCTCTGCAAGTTATCCTTTCCAAGTGCTTGGGAATTGATGGTCCATGCCCAGGCAGCTCACATGATCAACATTTACGAGTTGGGTACAAGAGCGCCGAGTCCGTCACGGAGCCCTAGCCTTGACCAGCCGAAGGAGTCGTCGCCTTCCCCACAGGATTTCCAGGTTAATTCTCACTCCTCTTACTTCCTGTCTGAGATTTATTATTTACGTCGACATCATGCAGCAATATTTTACAAAATCGCGCAACCCGAACTGAAGAATTAATAGTTTCCGCCTCGGGAATGGCGAAGGGTGGAACGAACGACTGTAAAAGGGGAGCTTAGAATTCACCCTCGAGGCAAAGTAATTCAAAATAAAACATTTTACACTTTAATCACTGAATGTCTATTTTATTTTTTATTGTTTATAATTAGATTATTGCTTGCTAATTTCAATGGAATTAATAGTATAATACCTTAAAAATTAAAATTCAAAACCATTCGTTTTTATGCTAAACAATAAAGAAATTAACTAAGATGAAATTTTAACGAGCCAAAACAGATGACTGTTAATATTTTATTCACATATGATAACGAAAAACTCATGGAACGTTTCGAGCTTAATTGAATCCTTTTAACTGTATAAATTATAAAATAAAATCGATAGAAACAGTTTTATTAGTTTCTAAAAATTTAATTAGATCTGAAAATAATTTTGTTAAATTGTCAAAATAATTAGGTATACAAGACGTTCGAAGTTCAAACTGATTACATTGCTAAAATGTCAAAACTTTGTATAGTATTGCTTATCAAACTGGAGTTTTCTATAGTATTCTTTTAAAGATTTAATAAAATTATTTTAACTTAATTTTTAACCCTCAATACATCTCAAAAAAGTCCCTATCTACCCACATCCGGGTTTTTGTAACCTAGTGTTTTCTTTTGCTTGTGTCTCAAATTGTAGTGCATCGATTTTAACTAATTTTTTTTTAATCTATCGTATGAAGACTGAAAAAAAAAGAATTTTTTTAGTTAGAAAGTCTAAAATGTCGTAGCACAAAAGATATTTTCAATAAATGAAAAGGGATCGGAAAAAAACGTCTTAACTATGAAAATCGGGGAGGGGGAGGGGGGAGGGGTTATGCTAATCCTTTGTGGGTACTGAGGGTTAAATATTCCAGCAAAATCATTCTTTTCTTTTAGAAGAAAATATCGATACATAGCGTAGTAAAGAAAAATGTCAGACTTACATTATGCAAGCAGTCAAAAAGTCACATCTGACAGTCAAAATACAATTCATAATTTTAAATTGTAAAATTAGCACAAACAACCATAATGCTTTCCTTAAAGTATCTCCATTACGCACGAAATGATGTCCAAGATTCCAAACTAATTCTTCGTTCAACAGCGAGAAAGAGTAGAATCAGTATGAATAAAATGTGGTAAGAATCGAAAGCAACGTGGATTCAATGGAATTCTTTAATTATTGTTATATTTCTTTAATAATATAATAACCGTAATATATTTTAATCGAGGAATATGTATATATATTGACTCACAAAGTTTCTATTTTCTCAGATCATGTTTAATGTATTTGTCATTAACGAATATTCGGAATTGTTTTATCGTCGCACATGTATTTCTCGAGTAATTAAAACGTGAGATTAACGGAAATATTTGACTGTCCCGTAGGTATACCTAATTATCCAGCCTGGCGCGATGGCCGATCACATTTAAATAAGTAATATTCTCTCACTTTCATTAATTAATTTGCGTTTCATTACCAACCGACGATTGAATTACTTGCTCTGTAATATTGATGTTATGTTATCAATAATCCTCGTTGGTGAGCCATAATCGAAAGTTTATTTTCTTTTCGCATGAGATATTTTATGCATATATATATATATATATATATATATATATTTAACATATTTATTTATCGTGAAACAATTTAAATTCTCTCAAACAATTTAAATTTGGTAGATTTAACCTTCGAAATTTTTTATATCGTAAAGAATAACTAGCTTTCAATGTGTCAAGAAATTATCTTTATTATTTTCTTAATTATATATATTCAATTTGTTCAACTAATATAGATTCTTATGCAATAAATAGGTCACCAGTATCGAAACTCAATCGTTCTAAAAAGACTAGTCTTGCCGTTTCGCAGTTCATTTCAACGTCGTCCTCTCTCTTTTTATATCTTTCCATTTCTGCAAAACGACACGTAGTCTTCCGTCACATTTATCGAAGCGTCACGAGGCGATCCAGGGAAGCAACAAAGAGGCATCGCGACGATACGCGTCGTCTGAGACACGAGATATATCCGACGGACGACGACGCAGACAGTCTTTCCGACGATGCTTGACGTGCACGATTTTCACGAAGAACTTGTATAGAACTGGAGTAAAGGGGGTATGTGCGCTTGCACTCGGCAAAAGCAACCCCAGTGACCGACGCGAAACACGTCGATTCCATCGAGGCTAACTCTGGGGTTGACGTATCGACAGAGAAACATATGACGAAGTAATATTTTTCCGCGCCCCCTCGGGTGATGGCATTTTCCCGCCACTCGCTCACCATCTCTCCCCTTAACAGTTTTCCCATCGACAGATAGCAAAACCGAAAATCGTACTTTTGATGTTAAATATCGCAGGAACTCGCTTGTAGGATTTAATACACTTTTGTTCAGAATAATAGAATAAAGGATTTTTCGTTTAATCAATTTTTTTTTTCTGTTTACGTACTAAAAACGCGGTAGCGTTGTTATTGAAAAATGTATTACATCAAAGAAAAATTTATCCGTCTGAAAAAGAATACAGAGAAAGTATTGTAACGTTTGTAACGGCATTCGGATGATTAATCGAAATCTAATCAAATATGTTTCTGTTGTACCAAGTCTTTCTTGTAAATGCTGCTATATTTGAAACATATATGGGATGCTAAATTTTAGAATTGATAAAGAAAAAAAAACGGAATTTTTTAAAATGATAAAATAACTAATGTTAAACGTAACACGTCGTTTATTAACAAATGAGTATACGTACAACATTGCTGCAATTTCCTATTATAATTATACACTGCAGCTTGTTGCGAGGATAAATGATTGCAATGCAGATACCTTCGTTAATCAGTTTCCCGTTTGCGATAATCTCGCGTAACAGTATTAATCTATGGAATCTATGACAGGAAATCAAGGCTACGGATTGCGAAGAGCGCGCAGAGGAGGAGGAACTTGATGGACATGAGTTAATACCGTCCCCCGACAGTGGCAAGTCAACGGACAACGAAGCGGCTCTGTCGCCGATCAAGATTCGATCTGACGTTAACGGGTTGGATCACGAAGACTGCGACGAATTGATCCACGTCGAGAACACTACGCAGGCATGCATCATGCATACTCTCAGCATTGTGAGTTTTCAGTTCTTCTCTTCTTCTTTACATGCGAGAAACAGCATTAAGAACAGTATGAAGAAATTATTTATAATGGCAAAAACACTTTTAATTAAAAGATTTATAATACTGTGGCAAAAAGTATTTGCCATATTATATAAATTATATAATTAATTATTATATTATTATATTACTATATAATTATATAAATTATAAATAATATTTTAAACAAACATAAAAATTTTTTAAGTATAAAGTTTAATTAGGAAAAATATTCCCTAATTAATATATCTTCGCAATCGCATCGTATTATTAATTGTCTAGTGTTATTTTTCTCTTTTCTATACGTTTTATGTATTCTATTGTAATACGAATAAAAATAAGAATAAGAAGTAAAAAACCCGCGGTTTAAGCAATAGGAAAGTATTAAAGAAACAGATATACGACTCTCTAACACGATGCACAGTCGGAAATGGCACGATGACAGAAACATCGACTTAGATCACGTGTCATGAGGACCGTGAAGAGCGTAAAGATCGTAATGGAACCAGCATGGCACTAATGACTGACGTCGCTTTCGCTACACAGCAGTTAAAAGCAGTCATCCATGATAGAGATTCGTACTTCTTGGGTGCATATTAACAGGAGCGTCGTAAATCGGTATTGTCGGCGCCAACGACGACTATGACAATGCCAACGACAGTGATGTCATCGCAGTTTCCTTTTTTTCCACATGCGCGATAAACCATATCGTTCTGATTTCCGCTAACGACCACGGATATTATAATCGTCGAAGCATTACATTTCTTAATATAATTTCTTAATAAATTTTAATTTCATAATTTAAAAGAACTTCATAATCTAGTAAAAGGCTACGATAATTTTAAATTATAATATTAAAAATATTAGAAGTATAGTATTATCTTACTATTATAGCGCTATAAATATCTCGCAATTTTCAAAAGAAATATTCTCTAGGCCATTATTTAAATCCTTTTGCATAATTCTGTTGTTATAGGATTCGTCCTTGGAACTAAATTCTGACACGAATTCGAGAACAACTTCTGGAACGGTGATGGCCTTGACCAATGGTTCATTATCGGCAAAGGAATAAATGAGGAAAAAGAAAAAAAAAAGGAAACAAAAGAGAATATTCATCGGAACGGTCTTCCCCGGCCAACCAACGAGACATATCGATCTCCTTTAAGGATAACGCACCCGTTTGTATATAGCTTAATTGCCTAACAAATTATATTCAGGATCGTTAGATCCCGTGGTCTATGCCGGCTGATCGAATATCGATCATTTTCCCAAAAAGAAACAAATATCAGTTTTATTCTGGACTCTTTATGCACTTGCAATTCCTCTTCAAACTTTAATTGAAGACTAACTCAAATGGGAGAAAAATCAAGTTGAGTTTAATTATTTACATTTGATATATCGTTTATTGGAACAATGTTAATTAAATTGTGGATTAAAAAAATTTTTATTTATTTGTTTCATATTTACTAAAAATTGTAGATTTTTTTATTTATTATAATTGCATTAACCTTTTATTTTTATTTTTAAAGCTTTACATCTGATATTCGAATTTTTAGTATTATTTTGAACTTATGAATTTTTAAATTTCAAGATTTCATATGTCTTATAAAAAATGTTTCATCTACTTTTATATGTATATATATATGTTACATCTCTTAAAAATTTGCAGCTTCCACATAAGAAGCTATAAAATATTATATTTATTCATCCAGAAAAAATATATATAAAGTTAAAATTTTAAATTTTCAAAGTTATAAATTTTTTGATTATTAAGTACTATTTTGTATTTAGCTTCTAGGTCTAAAATTTATCAACCATGAGATTTCAAATTCACATGATGCAATTGTAAATCACAGATAATTTTATATTTAGAAGATTGTATACAATATAAGTTTATTATCATTCAACTATATAAAATCAAGTGCTTTTGTCATCTTGGTGGCAAAATATTGAACATAAGACTATTTGTGAACAACGTATTAGCTAAAAAGAATCATTAATGGATTCAATATTTCTAGAAATTCCTAAAAATTATTTACTTATTAATTAGTTTCCAGTGAAGATTACTTTTTATTCAATAAATATTATAACATCAATGATAATACCGGATATAAATAATCTTTAAATATTGGCAAAGATGTTTGTTAAGAAAACAAAGAAACTTGTATCTTCCTTTCTTAGCGTTCGCACATACGTGTAGATTAAAAATATAGATTGCCAATTTAATTATTTATGAAACAACATATCTTCCCCAATAAACAATATGATGTCAATGGCGAACTAATAATTCAATTACGATACGAATTTAAACTTCAATCATTATCAAAACGGCAAGTCCATTTCTCTGCTGTTATCTGCTCCGTTCTGATTCACATTCATTTTAAGATTTTTAATCAATCATACTACACACGATTTACATAATTGTTATCTATTTTAAGAAGGAAACGTAGCATAGAGAAAGCGAGAAGAAAGGAGGCTCTGTTTAGCGGCTGTTACACAAATTCTATGTTATTACAATTCTGTATTACTTTACTTATAAATGTATAAATCTGTAAATCTATATAACAAGTAATTTTTAATCATTTAAATAATTATTTTAATGCAACAATTTAAGTATTAATAAAATAATAAATTTGTAAATTTACAAATTATATTTAGAAATCTATAGATCTATGAATTTTTAGCATTTCATTATAAATTACTTTTTATTTCAAATTTTATTTAATATTTATATAATTCTTGGTCTAAAGAAACATGAGTACGAATCAAAACAGTGACATATATCGAATATATATGAATGTGGGATAAATTATGATTTCTCTTCCCCAGGAGAGTGTAACATATTTTATTTTCAATTAATTTATTATTTTTTATGTATTACTATTGTAATTTGCCATTGACAGCTCCCGTAATTCATGCATATCAAAGATCTAATATCCTGGGTACCATTTTTTAAATACAGCCTGCACAATTCGTAAATGCAACGCAATCGTCGAAAAAATAAAGATATCATCGACAGCCGGAAAAAATCGGTCGAGCTTTTACGAGGCGCTTCTCTTCCTGCGTTTTTTTCTTTTGTAAAACAAAATATTTATTACACGATTAGATGGTAGCGATGAGAGTTATTTGTTTATAGCCCCATATATAAACAATGTTTTATGGATCATTAATGTCTAAATAAAATATATTACGTCTTTTAAATCGTCTTCGAATCTTTTCCTTCTTCCACTGCTTTTATATATCTACACAATACAACAAATTTGCTCCTTTATTCCGTAATCTTTATTTAATGTTTACTTTTTAATTTAGCATTTTAGTAATGCGGTATTTCAATATTTAAGATATTCATTAACGAAACGTGTGATAAGTAGAAATGTTTATTAGCTTATAATAAGTAATTAGCAAATAGTGTGTAATTAGAACTGGTTTTTAACGACTTGCCAAAGGCAAAGGAATCTTGCAGTTCTTGACACGTTCACTTCTTCGAGCATGTTCATCCCTTCAAGCGCCTAATTACTGTAAGGCATCGCAGCATCACGAGGCATTACAGCCCTTTCCGCGGTTGTTCAACTGTACTAAGAGGCTCGTTAGAAAGATTTCCTGCCCTGCTGACCTCTTGACGTTATGTATAAAAGAAGTTTGCCGTGTACATTCAGTTGATCATTGAACTCGAATTCTGTGTTACAATTTATCTAACTTAACAATTTCATCGATCAAACAATACTAATTTTTTAAATAAATATAGGTCAAAATAAAAAAAAGAATTTATTTCACAAAATAATTCACAAAAGGTATTTTACGAGGCTCATGTTCTATATCTATTTCCCTCCTTGTGAAGTATTTTAATAAACGTTTTTACATCCATTGACCTGACGGAATTATCCTTTATATGCGTGTATCTAGACGATAATGGAGGATTCACAAAACATTCAACAATCTTCCTAGTTGATATCGGATGTTGTGTACGTCGGTTGCGAAATCGCGTAAACCATTAAGAGGGGAAAAACATCGAGAGATGGAGAGGTGCTTAATGTCTCGCAAGAAAACGCAGCCAAAAACCAACGGCCGATTTACTTTTGTCCCTCTTTAGAAACATGATTCGTTCGTATTGCAGCGTTTGTAACTTATATTATTAAGACTGAGTTATGAAAACAGGTAAGCTATTCCCTTTTTAGAAAGCATGTCTTACTCACATTGCACACAACACGAAGGAAAATTTGTAATAAGTGGAACTTTGGGAATTGCAATGCTTGAAGTTTTAACTTGTCCGTCACCTCTTGATCTAATTATATTCTCCTGCTAAGTATTCCTCTCACTCTAAAGAGTTTAGAGTTTTGAACTCTCAGACAAAATTCTAAGAAGCTTTGGAATCGCGAAATTTCTTGAAATTTTAATTAGTACATACTCTTTGTTGATTACGTTCAGCTGATACTTTGCCGACTTGCTTTTTATCGACTCCTTTCTTCTTTTCTGCTTTGCTCTCCGCTAGATGACAACACCTTGTGAAGAAATGTGTATAAAGAAACATAATAATAAGAAAGCAGTAATGATCCGAATAATATAAAAATCATATATATTATATTCATAGTTTTATATATTTATTTATATAAAAAAGAGAAATATTACTGTCTTACAATCTTCTAAACTTATTCTTTATCGAGAGAATCTTTTCTCTTTTCTCTGCTTTACTGCTCGCTAGATGACAGCACTTCGTAGAAAAATGCAATAAAAGTACATAACAATAAAGAGTCTACTATAGAACATTATAAAACGTAATAAAAAAATTTTCTACCTTTATAGAACTTTATATTCGTAGTTTTATACGATTATTCTATAATATATTCAGAAATACTCTTTTATACAGCCTATAAAATTTAAATTCAATAAAAATTTACTTTACTACGATAAAAGTTTTATGCATATATTAAAACGATTTTAACTAAGTTACAAATTAAAATTTTACTAAAATCAATAGAGAACGAATAAATAAAAACAAATAAAAAAAGGATTTCGCTACTTATTTAATCTTTAAATTTTAATTTGTAAAAATAATTTTAACTACTAATGATTTAGAAGTTAATTTTATACAAAAATATTTTAATTATAAAAAATGCCATCAAATCGAAAATTTACAATTTGCCAGCTTAATTTACCATGATCCTATATTTACGTACATATCTGCATGTCTATAACCTTCGGCGATAAATTCAGAATTCAGGTATTTTGGCAATAACGTTCCGCGTTCTATTTCATTTTCGGTTATTGCACTGCTCCGGTAGCCGGCGTGACTGTTTATCATTCGGTGCAAGCCTTACGGTTAAAAACGACGAGCAATTGTGAACGGTAGTTGACTCCGTGGGTAGAGGGGTGGGCATGTTTCATCTGCGACAAACTGAACGGTATGCAGATATGGAGCCCGGGTAAACCAACCGCTTGTGGACTACTGCGCGGTAGTAATCACAGTCACTCCGAACAGTCAACGACATCCGCGAGACCCACAGGTGTATAACAGGTACATCATTTATCAAAATTTACACTAACATTTCTCTCGGTCTTTAGCATAGATGTGATTTCGATTTAATGTATTCTCCCTTCGCGCTCTCTAAATAAACTGGTCAAACGTAGCGTTCGTACTTCATCAATGTTTAATTTGTTGGCGTATAATTGTTACCTTTTTCCTTAAATTTAAAGAACGATCTCTGTGACTTACCAATTTACACATTCTCTTCTTGGAGAAACGCTCCTCTCAAATAACTTTCTAAAATAAAAAGATTTTATTTTATAGAGTAAATTTTAAAAATTGCACACTCTGTACGAAGTACGAAGCGTTAATTGCAGTGACTTATAAATTTTTCAAATGCTATTATAGCAACATATTTGCACGATACAACTTTAATGTAATAAATTTTTACGAACATAATGAATTTCAAATTATTCTTCAGTAGCTTATTGAACAAAGGTACGTAAGCCAATTAAAATTATTTGTACGAAAATTGAATGAATTAAAATTCGGCGAAATATTTAATTACATTGTAATGTAGAGAAAATAATTATCGTGCTATTATATATTGATCAAATAATTATAAAGAAAATAAAATCTGCAC